CTGGAGAAAGACTGTGAGCTCATCACCTCCGCGGTCACGTTAATACACAAACAGCCCTGACAGCACGACCTGCACAACCTGCGCTCTCCACAGCACGTTCTCCCTGAAAGAGACAGACAGGTTTATAGACATACACAGCCCTGACAGCACCCTGCAGTTATAAAGCATGTTCTCCGTGAGAGAGACAGGCAGGTTAATACACACACAGCCCTGATGGCACCCTGCAGTTATACAGCGCATTCTCCCTGAGAGAGACACACAGGTTAATACACACACAGCCCTGACAGCATGCACTGTCGTAATACAGCACGTTATCCCTGAGAGAGAGACACAGGTTAATACACACACAGATCTCACAGTGCACCCTGCAGTTATACAGCGTGTTCTCCCTGAGAGAGACAGAAAGGTTAATACACACACAGCACTGACAACTCCCTGCAGTTATACAGTGCATTCTCCCTAAGAGAGACAGACAGGTTAATACACACTCAGCCCTGACAGTGCACTGCAGTTATACAGCGCATTCTCCCTGAGAGAGAGAGAGACAGGTTAATACACACACACAGCCTTCAGAGTGCCCTGTGGGTATACAGAGCATTCTCCCTGAGAGAGAGAGACAGGTTAATACACACACACAGCTCTGACAGCACCCTGCAGTTATACAGCGTGTTCTCCCTGAGAGACTCTCTGGTTAATATACACACACAGCCCTGACAGCGCCCTACAGATATACAGCGCGTTCTCCCTGACAGAGTCAGACAGGTTTATATACACTCAAAGCCCTGACAGCGCCCTGTGATTATACAGCGCATTCTCCAGAAGAGAGAGACAGACAGGTAAATACACACACACATCCCTTTCAGCACACCCAATGGTTATACAGTACATTCTCCCTGAGAGAGAGAGACAGCTTAAAACACACACACAGCCCTGACAGCACCCTGCGGTTATAAAGCACATTCTCCCTCAGAGAGACTCTCTGGTTAATACACACACACAGCCTTGACAGCATCCTGTGGTTATACAGATCATTCTCCCTGAGAGAGAGAGAGACAGGTTAATACACACACACAGCGCTGTCAGCGTCCCCTGTGGTTAAACAGCACATTCTCTCTCAGAGAGACAGACAGGTTAATACACACACACAGCCCTGAGAGCACCCTGCAGTTATAGTGCGTTCTTCCTGAGAGAGACAGACAGGTTAATACACACAATCAGCCCTAACAGGGCCCTGCGGTTATGCAAAAAGTACTCCCTGTGAGAGACAGACAGGTTTATACACACACACAGTCCTGATATCACCCTGCGGTTAAACAGCATGTTCTCCCTGAGACAGACAGACAGGTTAATACACACACAGCCCTGACAGTGCCCTGCTATTATACACCAGAACTGCATACAGAGTCAGCTATTATCAACATTGTTCAGAATACTCCAAAACATCATTTTCAGCTCAAATAAACGCTTTTCTGCACCGTTTTACAACCACTTGTGACAGGTGTTACCAGAACTGCATACAGAGTCACCTATTATCAAGAATGCTCCAAAACGTCATTTTCAGCTCAAATAATAGCTTTTCTGCACCATTTTAAATCCATCTGTAACAGGTGCTACCAGAATTGCTTTCAGAGTCAGCTATTACCAACAATGTTCAGAATGCTCCAAAACGTAATTTTCAGCTCAAATAATCGCTCTTCTGCTCCGTTTAAAATCCACCTGTAACAGGTTACACAAGAACTTCAAACAGAGTCAGCTTTTATCAACAATTTTCAGAATGCTTTAAAACGTCATTTTCAGTTCAAATACACGCTTTCCTGCAACTCTGTGACTAATAAAAGTGCACTGAAGTGCCTGTTTGCTCTTTAACCCAACTTTGTGCTGTTCATTTTTTATCCAACCAGTAATATTAACATATGCAAATATCAGAATTAACTTTTTTATTACTTTTACTGCAATGAACATTATTCCCATTGATTAGATCACATCATCACATGATGACAAAGACTGATGATTAAAGCTGCTATCACCGCACGTCGACCGTTATATGTTCACTTTCCAGCGGCCGCTCACGCGCTTGTGTGAAAAGCAGCGTCGCTCGCGCCCCCTGCTGGCGGGTCACTGAAACAGCGGTCGGTTCACGCGGACACACGTGTTGTTTGTGACTGAACACGGTACTTAGATTAATTTGACCTTTCCGAATGACATAATTTTAAACTACAATAAAATTCCAACCACTATACAATAAACCTTCGTCGCATGAAGTCATGGGTCCACAGTATTTCACCGTTGAATGCACAGAGTGCCTGCCATAGTGAGTTTGGAGAGTTCTGTTGAGATAAACAGCCCGTGGAGGGGAACAAATTCAGGAAAACGCAGAAAGAAACGGGAGGCTCAGTCCCTTAAAGTCTGTGTGTATACTTCTTTATTGCGAAGGTTTCCACACTGCTGGTACTCAGCTGGAGCAGGGATATTGAGGACAAGGGATACAGTGGGTTAAATGTGTAATTTCATATAGTTCAGTGTAAGGGTTTATTAATGAAAACACTCTTAAGGGGTCTTTTCAGACGTTATTGAAATCTCACTTCATGTATTGAGCCTGGATGGACACTTCTCTTCATCTTTCCCAGGAGATGCAATATGCCGCTTAATTAGGGTTACGGTACGTCCGGATTTTCCCGGACATGTCCTCTATTTTGATCCTTACTGTACTGTATATTTCCTTCCCTGGGGGAATTTTCAAATATCCCAAAATTCGACCCCATTATTTTCACCACGAAGAATAATTAACAAACGTTTTAAGGATAGTAGATGAGAATGTTAGAAAGAGAGACGGAGAGTTTCTTCACTCGCTTCACAGCAGAACTAATTTTTCCGTGATTTCGAAGTGGCAGAGAAGACTGTGAAGTTGAATGTTTGGTGTGTAAGCCTGGTACTTTTGTCTCCGTGGCAAATAAAGGTGTACTTGACTTGCAAGCTCATGTTGACTCAAACACAAGAAAGGAATTCGAGGAGAGAGTTCGTCAACCAATATTTTGTCAAATCTGGCAGCAAAACAGACGGTACTGTTACTGCAGCCGAGGGGACTTGTGCATTTCACACAGTTGAACATCTTCAGGGTAATCAACCACTGCCAAGAGAAATCCGGTCTACAGAGAAATATGCTTGGGCAGATCAACGGGAAGAAAAGTAAAGTTCTTAACAACTAAGGAGGTAAGCCAGAGAAAAATCTTAGTAATTATTAGACATTATTATTTACAAGCACAGACCTTTTCTGTACTAATACCTGATATGCAGATAGATTTACCAATGAACATAAAACGTGGGATATTTTGAAAACCCTCTCCATCCCCACCCCCTTTCCAGATAAGGCGATAGGAAAGTTCCTCAGGGTGTCCTCTTTTTCATGTTCAAACTGATGTTTAATACAGTACTGAACAGCTCGTTCTACTTATTCCTGTACACTTACAGTACAGTATGTACTTAATACTGCTTCGTACCGACAACCAGAGTATCCGAATTAGTAACAATAGGTTTATTCCCTGCTGAAAAGAGAAGAGAAAAAACCTGAAGAAAGCTCCACGGCCGAAACATTGTGTTTTCTCTCTTCTCTTTTCAGCAGGGAATAAACCTGGCTCCAGGGCGTGACAACTACCCCTCAGTGAATGATCGGCTATTTATATTCAATCCGATCGGTTCATTCATGTATATAGATATTATTGCTCTAACTGGTCGACTGGTCGATGTGTTGGCAGTGCATTAACAAATTGTATATTGCGTATTTTGAAATCGAGTGCAGGCGCTGCTCATTATTCTGTCCAAAAATGTCCTAATAGCCTCGAAACACTCGACATTTGCTGTCAGTGTTTCTAAATATGCATTAATTTCAGATCACTGCATAATATTGTTTTTAAATGTCGGGCGACTCCAGGGTTACCCACACCAACCAATGTTGACATCACCCTGATGATGTCATAATACCTGCCCGCTAGTTATTTCTGCCCATTAAAGCATCCAAGCTCATTAACTGCAAGAACATAATGCCATGTTGTGGATGTTTTTCTTTGAGCTTTCGAAAGGTATGTTTTCAGTTTTTTTATTTTGATCTAATTATTATATACTTCTTTTTCAGAACATACAAATGATAAGTTTTAAACTCATATGGAGACTAAAATTGAATAACAGTGGGTTTGAAATCTAATTTTCTGTTGCACTGCTATATGAAACTGAAAAACTGTAGATGTATTTTTATTGTAGTAACTGAAATATGCTGTAATAACTGAAATATACTGTTTCAAGGACTACACTTATAAAAGTTGTTATATTACAGCCAAGTCCAACTGTAATGTCAACGTTTAGCTGACAGCTACTTTAAATTTCTTGCTGTCCTTGCAAAGAGAAGTGGGTCATTATTATCAATGACCCTCATCAACTTACCTGAAGTGCTTTATTCTAGACTTTCTTTCTCCTGTTAGTGAGATCTGGGAATGATGCTCTTCCCATCATCTTCCCCTGCCCTTTACTGACCCCAGTGTCTCCACTCTGTTCTCAAACAGCCCCAGCAGCACCCAGCAGCCTTCTCCTGACAGAGGTGGAGCTGCTGATGGGCGTCAGGTCCAGGAGAAGACCAGCCCCAGAACCTCTTCTCCTGGCCTGCCTGACACAGAGCTTTCTGGGTCACAAACTCTCACAGCTCACAACAGGCATGTCTTCTACTGTTATACTTCTCTGTATAAGAACAATCATAGGTATAAATAAATGCTGCATAATAAATACAATGACCTTAAAATCTTAAGTCATAGCTCCTTGAGGAATTCAGTAAACTCGAAAATAATCTCCATTTCCAGCTAAACCAGTTAAACCATTTTTTACGCACTATTTGAGGTTTTAAAATATTTGATATGTTGAGAAAGGTAATTAATGCCCTGCTCCTCATGCAGTACCAGTGTGTGAGACTGATAGTCACAGCCTGAGCTCTAACTGCTGTGTTTCCTGTGTTGTGTCAGTAGCAGGAGTGTTGACAGGGCGCCCCCAGGTGGTGAGCAGCAGCACACTGAGAAGAAGAGTAGCTCAGGTCTAGGTCTGTATGCCCTGTCCTTCTGTCTGCACACTGTGCAGCCCGGCAGAATGTGTGAAGAATGTCTTTCATGTCTTTAAATTCTACTTCAGGTTCCAAAATTTCTGTTTTGCTTTCTTTTTTTTTAGGAGGGGGAAGAGACCAGCAGCCCTCTTCCTCACTGGACAGGTACAAAACGTTCGTTTCAACCAAAAGAGCTGACTGAGCTCTTGGTGCCGCACTCATGAGAAAGTCAGAGGGTCTCAGTGATTCCTTTCCATTCATTGTAAGAAATAATATTTCATGATGTCAGTTTACACTGTGAGCTGTTTCCTGGTCACTGTGAACACATGCTGTTCCTTTCCAGCTCCAGTGTAGTGTGCTGCTCTCCCTCCTTGGATAAGACAGCTCCTCCTCTCAATCAGGACACCCTTCAGAGAGACCACCCAGCTCCTGGGGTAAGGACCCACCCGTTCAGACAGTTCCAGCTGTGGATTCACACACTCATCACAAGAAGCCATGACCAGTGTTGCTTCTCTCCTGAGTGCCTTGATTTTTATAAGTGAGCTTACTTCAACCAGCAAGCAATGGCCGATAAAAGTAATAACATCTTGCAGAACTGCAACGAGGGACATTTAGTGAAGAATATATTCAGAAATCTAGCTTGATTGACTGACATCTTCTTCCTGATCTAGCTAGGATCACATTTTTTAATATCCACTATTCAAAACTGACAATATTTCAAACTATGAGAATCATTCTTTAATAATATGAGGAACACATGACAGGAAGTGCCCAGAGTGCTTTGCAGTGTCTGCTGCAGCAGGAAGTGAAGGAATAGGGCATCTCCAGGTCCCCTTAGTGCAGCTCAGACTCCAGACTGTCCCAGGGCTTCCTCAGTTGACCCTGTCCTTCTGTCCACAGGTTCCCCAACAGCTGTTATATGAACGCTACCCTGCAGTGTCTCTCTGGGGTACCGTCCTTCTCCAACGACATCCTGAGGGAGGGGCACAGCTGGGACATGATGCCCCAGACTCGGCTGCTCAGGGACTGGAGCCCAGGGCAGGAGGAAGTAGCTTAAAGAGACCGAGACGGACTAGAAAAAAATATAAACTTGTGAGGTCACACAAGTCCTTCTAACCGTGAAAATTATAACTTCCAGTGGAAAACAAAGATGTAAATTGAACCTGTTGTTTAGATCATGTGTCTTAGTTTTCCTTCTGTTCGCCAATACTGAGATGTGCTCCTCTAGTCCACTGACTTGCCTCTGTTCTGCTGTGTTGAGGAGTGTCCAGACTGCCCTGTTCTCTTCCTTGCAGGTCGTTTGCTCACCTGCTTGCAGGGAGGAACCAGAGCAGCCTGAGTCAGAAGGAGGAGCAGCTGAGATGCATTAAAACAGTCATCTCAGCTCCTCATGAGGAGTTCAGTGGAGACAGGCAACAAGTGAGAGCTGCGAAACTAAGACATTTATCCCTCTGTCACATATATTAGACATTGAAACGCACCTGAAGAATCCACAGAATCTATTCCACTACTAAAACCTCAAAAACTTAAACTGATCTAAATGCTTCCTGATTCTAGTTTCAGGCAAGGCTTGAAGAAAACACAGTGCTCTACTGGGCAGTGTTGTTGTGCAGCTGGTAGCTCCAGTGTGATCTGGTTTCAGTTCACTTCCAACAGATATGCTAGCCAGATTAACCAGTCTGTGTAGTTTGCCTGTGTGGGCAATTCATCTCCCAAACCCCTTTTATACTGTTAGGCTTCACCAGAATTGGATCCTGTAGTGGAGGGCTGGCACCAAGAGTTGATGAACACACGACAGGAAAGACCTCTGTCTGCTCAGGTAGGCTGTAGGTCTCCTTCGCAGCAGAGCTGGTGTCTCCCTAACACACAGCTCTCTCACTGCAGGATGCTCATGAGTTCCTGAGCCACTGCCTGTCTCAGCTGAAGGAGGAGGGACAGGGGCTGAATCTGGCCTGGGCCCGATGGCTGCTCAGTGCCCAGGGCGCCCAGCCGGAGGGGGTGAAATGCCTCCATTTTTCACCTGTCCTGAGGTGACAAATTTGAGTTTCAGCTCCAGTATAAACACACCTGCATGAGTTCAGTTTCTCAGGAAAAGAGCTACAAGTCAGTCTTGATAATTAGAGTTGATTTTGGCCTTGAAAGGAAATTGGAAGTGTTTGAAGTAATGGGTGGTCACATGTCTGCCTCTCTGTTCTCTGAAAGCTGTGAAACTCAAGCCACCAGGACAGAGGTGTTTCACCACCTGTCTCTGGACCTCCTCCCGCTGGACTCCATCCAGGACTGCCTGGAGCTCTACTTCAAGGTCAGTCTCGACGCTCGACGGGAAGAACACGGGGCTTTTTAACATGTGCCTCATGAGACAGGCATCATGGTTTAGGTGCAGGATCAGAGGAGAACATGGGTTTTGTGTCAGAGAGAGAAAAAATAAGGTTAATTCAGCACAATTGAAGTTCACTGTATCTTCATAGAATATGTATGTGGAAACTCTAAGCAATGTTAAAGCCTCAGGCTCTAATGTTGCATTTTTATCCTACATCCTGATTTCTGCAAATAGTTTTTTTTTCTTAAATCTAAACTTAATGATGCTGTTGATACTATATGGGTATACGGGTTGTACAGTTATTTATTAATATGTTTTTTTCAAGTCTGGCTGGTGTCACATCCTGATTGTATCACTGAAAATGTAGCCTTTTTTGCTTTCCCCATGTTTAATTCCTAGCTTTTAAAGCTATCATGTGAATCAGTCCTAATCCGAGCTTCAACATGTTATTCAGTCTAAACATAAGTGGGTCTCTCGAAATTGTGACCTTGACTAGGTTGTCTCAGTTTTATAATAATAATAATAATGTTTCTTTATTAGCCCTATACAATTTCTTGCATTAGGAATGTGTCTTTTCGCATACCCCAGCTTTTCTCCAAGGAGACACAGACACAGAGACAGGGAGAGAAGCTTGGGAAGTTGATTACAGGCAATGTCTCTTCCTTCGCCCAGGACAGCACAGCTGGCCTCTGTCACCTCAAGCTTCAGGACACTGCCCAGGTAGGTCTTCGTGCAGTTCACAAGCCACACCAGTGTCAGAGAAGTTACTGTATAACTGATTCACTCTTCATTGACTAATCTTTATGTGCAGCAGCATGGAAGCCAGTTTCCCATCAACAGCACACTAGGCTCATAGGAAATGACAGCTGAGACTCTCTAGTGATCATTCTGGACTGAAAGAATTTGAATAAAGAGTAAATTGCTGCACTTGCATTCATGAGAGTGTCTCGTATAACTGGAGGGAATTGTGCTTCTTCATTCTTCCTCTTCCTCTGCTGAGCAGAGTGCTGATCCTGCACTTGAAGAGGTTTAGGTACGACACCACGCTGCAGTACAACACCAAGCTGGAGGAGCCAGTGGTCGTCCCCAGCAGCTTGACCACTCAAGCCCAGTGCAGCAGTGGTATCCAGCTTCCCCGTGCTCTGGACTGCAGAGCAGAGCCCACAGTGTGAGTCCCTCTTCGGCCCAGAAACAGTCACAGTGTCACACTGCAGCTCAGAGCAGCTGTGTCAGTGGAGTGTAAAATCCAGCTCTAAGACATTATGAGACTCAAAGATATACTGTTAGATATTATGTTGCAGAATAACACAAGTCTTGCACTGTTTCTTCCACTGCATGCTCACACTTCAACAGTGTATACTTTAATCTTTTAGTTTTTATTGTAGTGGTAGTAGTGTAGTGCACTGTATTGAAGTTTGTATCCTGCACTTTCTTCACACTTGCCAATATACCCATTATTGGGTTATGGAACTTGATATAATTATAGTAAATTTATAATCCAGTACATAAACTCCAGATTGAGTACATGAAGACTAGCCAATTATTACCACTGGCAAGTGACAGAGAGCAGGTAATCAAGGAGAGCTTTGTGTGCTGTCACTCTGGGGAGAAAGCACCTGACCTGTCGGTCTGCTTGAGAGCAGAGCTCACACTCTCAATGCTGTCTCTACAGGTTGTTAGAGGGGCTCAGTGAAGAAGAGCTCCTGGCTGCAGCCCTGCAGATGGGTTTGCAGGAGAGCCTGCAGTCAGGACCTTCCACAGCCCCTCAGGACAAGCAGGGAGAATCACCAGGTAACCCCCATTCACCTCTGGCCCACATCTCCTTAACAGTACTGACACCTCCACACAAATCCGAAAACACCCACAGCAATAGATGAGCAGAATCTCATTCCAGTCAGATCACATTCTTCCTAATCCTCAGGTCCTTTTCTTAGCCCTAAACTGATCATCAGATCATTTGTTCCTTTCTCTGAAGAGTGTCCATTCAGTGATCTGCTTCCTTGTGATCAATTCACTCCACTTGGAATTACAGACTCCTGAATTACCTGCCATTAGTTCAAATCTACAGTACGTGGCGCATTCTAAGAGGATTATCCTCAGAATATCTATTTAATTTATTATTTAGGACAATAATGTGTCCTCTTAAGATGTCCAGACACATGAAATGATAAAATCTTAAAATAGTTGCTGATATTTATAATATAATATTTATATATCTGCTTCAAGTTTTCTGACATGGTCATTATAGCCTTATATATTTCTTAAGTTGCACTTTCAGAGACATGTGTGTTCACACTTTTTATTTCTGGTTTCCTGAATGTCCTTGAAAACAGAGAAACAGAGCCCAGTGGAGCCTCACTGTGAGACAGAGGCAGTAGCTCAGCACAGACAGCAGCTGGTGAGGAAGGGGAGGGAGAGAGATAGAGGCAGCAGAGAGAACATGAGGGCAGAATCAGACAGAAGCTCAGAGAGAGTGACAAGAGTTTGTGTTGGAGTCAGTGAGAGATGGGGTCTTTGAAAGAGAACTGACAGCTGAGTGAGAGTTTAGGTTTATGAAGAGAAGAAAAGAGGATTGAAGAGATTGTAGAATGCAGCCCAAGTGAGGCAGTGGTGAAATGTCACTCACCCTGCTTACTGTGTTTGTTTCAGAACAGGGAACCATCAACAAATTATCAGCTTGTTGGTGTCCTCAGCCATGTTGGGAGAACTTCCACCTCTAGTAAGACAAATTCAAAAACCTGACCTGTTATCACAGCGTTTATGAGCAGTGCAGTTATCTGAGGAGCTTCCTGCTGTTGTGTGTACAAGAACATCAGACAGAGATGTTAGGGACACAATATCGGTGAGGACAGTGTGGTCCTGCAATGACCCATCCTTGCACAATGTATAGGGAGCTCAGCGTCTTCAGGGACCCTGGATTTGGAGACAGACATAGTTCGGACCTTTTAAGGTTGTAGCTCAGGTCAGACAGAATGTGAACCAGGAGAACAAAGGGGAACAGGAAGAAGGAGCAGTGAGCCAGACGAATCCATGGGTGGTTTTTGTGAACAAAAGACTCTGTGCTTCCCAACTACATGCTATAGATTTTAGATCATACAGGAAAAGCATATATTTTTAAATCTTTACAAATGTTACAAACACAACAGAACAACCACACCAGCTAAATACAGTACATAAAACAATGCAATGCTATTTGGATGTAGAGAAATCTACTGACACTGCCTGTAGAGTCAATGAAGTCCCTTGGTGGTTTGTCACTGTGATGTGTAATAATGTCTCAGTGATGAGAGAAGCCTCATCTCTCTGTGTCTCTGCAGGTCATTACATTAGTGATGTTTTTAACATCACAGAGCAGACATGGCTCCAATGTAATGACCAGAGGGTGAGGAGGACAGACGAGCTGTCTGTGATGAAGGCTAGAGAGAGGAATGCGTATATCCTCTTCTACATGCACAGCTACAGACTGATTGGTTTTACAAGCAGATTCATTGCTCTAACGAAATGTTTATGACTTGTTAGTGTAGGATCGGTACTGAACTGTGACAGGCAGTCAGTGTCGGCCATGGCCTAAGAGAAGCCAGTTGTGGGTTGTTGTTCTGACACCTGACAGCTGAGCTCCTCCTATTTAAATGCACTGTGTCTCATCAGCAGGTGTGTGAGGTGAAGAGGAAGAGATCCACACCTGGGACTGGGACTGGGACTGGGACTAATAAAAGCGCACTGAAGTGCCTGTTTCCTCTTTAACCCAAACTTTGTGCTGTTCATTTTTTATCCAACCAGTCAAATGAACGTATGCAAATATCAGAATTAACTTTTTTATTACTTTTATTCCAATGAACATTATTCCTATTAATTAGATCACATCAATATTTTCTGAAAAGACCCCTTAAGAGTGTTTTCATTTATATACCCTTACATTGAACTGTATGAAATTACACAGGTATATTGAAGTCTGCTTCAATATATCTTTTCCCGGCAGTGAATATTATCCTCACTAATTAGATGATATCTGTAATATGTCAATTATGGAATTCCCAATGCTCACCCAGTATCCAGTATTCAGAGAATAATGTTTAGTTAGGTTTAATTTCATAGTGTTTAGTTTAGTGTTTAGGTGGGTCTTCTTCATGACTCAATAGCTTTTTAAGCACAACAGCCACAGTACTGTGTAACTTTTCCTTATTTTTTAATTATTTTTTTAAGATAACACTACAGGTAAAACAGTGGGATAGGGGGTTGTCTTCATGACTCAATAGCTTTTAAGCACTACAGCCACAGTGCTGCAACCAAGTGCTTTACACACCAGACAGCCTCCCCAACCTTTTACAACCTTGCATTGGGTTGTGGACCTTTTCCTTATTTTTTAATGATTTTTTGAAGATAACACTACAGATAATACAGTGGGATAGGGGGTCTTCTTCATCACTCAATAGCATTTCAAGCACAACAGCCACAGTGCTGCAACCAAGTGCTTTACACACCAGACAGCCTCCCCAACCTTTTACAACCTTGCATTGGGTTGTGGAACCTTTCTTTATTTTTATATGATTTTTTTAAGATAACACTAGTATGATAGGAGGTGTGAAGAAAACTTCCTGAAGACAAATGTGCACAACATCAAAGAAATGACAACAGGTTTCTGGAAAAAACCCATACCACCACCCTAACCTAAATGAGGGTAGATTCAGCTGAGGTGGTAGAAAAAAAAATATTATTTGTGAAATGTTCTGAACCCTAAGTGAAATTTCAAAACAACTTAAAAAAAATGTGGACATGATCCTCACAAAAGGACAAAATTGTTTTTATTATAAAGGCAACTTAAGCATTGTAAGGTTAATGATTCATTGTTGATCTTCTCCTATTGGTCCTTCCTTCAATTTGTTTTAATTTTCACTCTGATGTGCAGAACAAACTGGGCTGTTTTGTGAAATTCTGTCCGTCTATTGTTCACTTGTTTTGCGTACAGCAAAATCCATCTGTAACGAATCTTCACACCCCTTGTCTAACAAATTCCAAGTACTACCATCCAAATGCAACCCCCAACTACAAAACCAATAGATTAAAATTCTGATTCATAGCTGCAGCCATTTCTTTACTTCATACTTGATTTCTGGGCTATTTTTTATATACATGTTATTGGTAATTTATGTATGTTATTGTTATTGTAGACAGCAGTTAGTACACCACATTCAAAGACTTTAAAAAACAACCTTAGGCCTTCAAGTCTGAATATATAGAGCTCTAAAATGTTGGAATTATTTGAAGACAGTATCAGGAGTGCAAGTAGCAGGAAAGAGAGGAGCACAACATGTATTCTTATATTATTTAGTATGTTGTTTAAGAATAAAATAAACTATGTGGGCAGACATAGCAATAACAGCAATAGTACAATAAAAGAGGAGAATAACAATGGAAAAAATAACAGGATTACTAAAAAATAAGTACCTTGAAATGCAATCCAACATCAGACAATGCTGATAACAGGGAAGAAAGTGCAAGAGACTCAACAGCTGAGAAGAAGTGCAAAATATCACATTGAGATAAATAAGGAAAAGTGGGTGAGAGGAAAAAATTAAATCAAAGAGCAAAAAGGAAAAACATGGAAAAGCCAGCAGAAATTCTAGCATCAGCACAAAAACAAGGGGACAAAACAGAAAGAATACAAAACAACTGAACAAAGAAACAAGACATGGAAGAAAAGAAAGCCCATGCATTCCTGAACCTACACCAAAGAAAAGAAGATAAAAATAGCTTATCTCCACAAAGAGTTAAAACCCACCGTAACCATTAATACTGTAGGAAAAACAAAAGTCCCTTGAAAGGCTGTGTCCTGTTTTCTCACCATTTGGAAAGGGTGATTGTATGTAAAACATTAATGCTAAAACCTGTTTACATATACCGTATCTACAGTACCTTCCTGTCTGGGCAGACGGCAGATCCACCACCAATCACTTCTGTTAGACCTCCCCAGTACCATGAAGAACTCAGATCAGCTCAGGTCTGGAAACAATGCAAAAGGAGACAAACTGTATGGAGAGAGGACCCAGAATCCCCGCTATAGTAAACTGTTACTGGGCGAGGGGACAAAACAAATAGAAAACCAACCTATTCCTTTTTAAAAAAAACCCCTAGTAGCAGGCACACAGGCGAGCTGAATTTCTAACAACACATAAGCAAAAGAGGCATCTATAAGGGCAGGTGACTGGAGATCTCAATAAGAGACAACACAAACCCAAATGATACAAAAACCAACACCGTCTTCCTCAAATGATTTGTGTAGGTATTTTCAAACCGCTTGTACTTTCCGATTACACTAAAATAATTCAGTTGTGGACTGTACCTCTTACCCCACTTTGAAAGTTTGTATATTTATCGTTTGTTCAAAATAAAGCCTATTGATTTTTAGAAATTAAAGACACAGGTCACTATGTTCATTTAAAAGTGTGTGTTGAGTGCATATGTGGTCAGATATGTGCCAGCTTCATATGAAGTTGATCTGACTCCTATTCAGGAGTTTGGTAAGGTGCCAGTAATAGGGTATTGAAGATACTGGTGAATAGCTAGCCCAGGTTACTGTTCACACACATGCCCTGGTAGTTGTTAAGTCAGGTGTGTCTGTACCCTTATAGACGGATGTGATCAGTCCTGGATTCCAGGCCAAAGGAAAACATCCTTACTTCAGGATGGGGTTGAGTAATTTAAACAGGGCTTGTCAGACCTCTGCTATGTCACATGATGCTGTTGTTTACCCTGTCTACGCCACAGGCCTTTTGTAGTTTGAGGGTATGAAGTTAGTATACTTGCTCCAACTTTGTGTTTGGGAAATCCAAGGGATATTGGTTGTTTTTTATAGACAATTCAAAAATGTTCTGTTTTAAGACTTTGTACCATACAAATCCCCGGAGCCCCAAGTGATTCTGGTTTTGGTAAGCCAAGGGACAATGAGCTTCACGATACCAGGGGGACAGTGGGTGGTCAAGTCTCCCCTAAGCAATGTATCTTGTCAGATTATGATGTCAGTCCATTTAATAATGTTGTTGAACTCCCTTCAGTCCAAATACAGAGAAGCCCAGGCCCAGAATGTTACACATGCTGACAGAGAGTGATCTCATTATGTGTGTCTGGATTTTAACAACTATTATTATTGTTTGCTAGAACCAAAACAAATCTATGTTAGACATTTTCATCTTCAGCCCAAAAATACAAACCTGTGTGTTGTAAAAAACTGTTGGTTCAGCTCGAGGGCTTGGTGCAGGTCAAGCTCATGAGGTGCCATATGTCCCCCAGCTCCGAGCCCATTGGGCCTGCTGGTGTGACCAGAGCTGCAGCGTAGCCATGCTGGTGGGGGTCAGTTCAGCTTTTCTGTTGGAGTCAACAGGGGAGTTACATGAAATTGCTGTCTGTGGTCCGGCTGTCCTGCTGGTCTGGATGAGGGGTACATAGTGTAGTGCAGGTTCTTGTCCCATCCTGCTCTTTGTCCAGGTTGGAGGGTTGCACCGATTCTGAGTCTTGTTAGCTGGTATGGATGGGTTTGGGGGTGTTGATACCAGAGTGGTCCAGGAGGGGGGTGCAGGTGTCTTGGGGGCATCCTTGTTTTTCTATGAGTTCAGGTTGATTCTGAGCACCCCACCCATCTCGGTGGAAGTTGCCATGTTCAAAAAATCCTAAAAAGAGAATTAAAGTTTCACACAACACAGCATGACTGTGAAAGGTCAGGAGGCCTGCCTTGTGTGCACAACACTTGATTACAGTCAAAAAATCACAAAACAAAAGTTCACAACCCAAAGCAAGGTTGTATAAGGTTAGGGGGGCTGTCTGGTGTGTAAAACACCTGGTTGCAGCACTGTGGCTGTTGTACTTAAAAAGCTGTTGAGTCATGAAGAAGACCCCCTATCTCAATGTATTACCTGTAGTGTTATCTTCAAAAAATCATAACAAGATAAGGAAAAATTCCACAACCCAAAACAAAGCTGGGAAAGGTCAAAGAACTTGCTTAGTGTGTAAAACACTAAGCATTGTGGGTGCTGTGGTTAAAATGCTATTGGTTTGTGAACAGAATACCCCTATTCCAGTGCATTGTGCCACATTAAATAAAAGCACGAGAAAAAGAGATTCAGAACGCAAAGCAGTGTCAGTGTTCTGTGTAAAAAAATTGGTTCAAACATCATGGGTGCAGTTTTTAATAAGCTGCTGAGTAAAGAATATTTTATTCTTCCTGCTGTCAGTAGTATTGTGAATATAGTTGACCCTTACCTGAATGAAAACAGGACGTAAAGGAAGGTTTTCAGAAATCAAACAAAGCTTTATTCCTGTGCTTACAGTGTGGGTAATTGGAGACTGCGCTGTTCTGCCTCCTATGGTTATATATGGGTTTTTCGCACGAAGCCGTATTGAACAATATCTCTCGCGTTGTGAACGTGTGTACACAGCGGTCCCCCGGGTTCCACTTAGTGCGTTATTTCGTATCGATGAAAAACCGGAGGTTTAAAAAAAAGATAATTAGCTCACTGATGGTTTGATGTAGAGGCTGTGGAAATTTCCACAAGTTGTGGTCTTTAAAATGCATTTGGTTTGAAGGCGTTCTGTGCTTCCATTGCGAAGGTATGGACAAAAGAATATTCGTGCTTGGTCAAAAAAATGTAATACAAACGACAAAGTGAAGGCTGAGAAAGCATACAAAGCAAGTGTTCTCGCAACTCTAAGAGGTTTCGCGAAAGCGCTACAGGCGTGCCAAAATCGTTTTCGAACTTCAAGCTTACTTTACCCTGGTCTGAGGTTTTATCATAATCACTAATATATACCTTTATTATTAATATGTTAACTCTAAACTAAATTACAAACTCTTCCTTTATTTAAGTTGACACAAATACATAATATTGTAACGCCCTCACCTGGTGGTGAGGAGGAAGCGCCCCTAGGCGCTCGTAGTACCGCTGGGCATGCTGGGAGTGGTAGCCGGGGAGAGTCTGAGGGTCAGCATAAAAAGACCAGGCCTGTGAGCCAGGGAGCGAGCGTGCCGGATCCTGCCCCCAAGTCAGCCGGGGGGCAAGACAAGGCGGCGGCAGCGGGGGCCGAGCGTTGCGTGGAAGCGAGGCGCGCCGTTGAGGATCTCTTCCAGCTGAGCTGCGAGGGCCTCGAACAGGACCAGCGGCAGCTGCTCCAGGAGCTACTCGCCCAGAACGAGGATCTCTTTGCGGCGAGAGATGAGGACTGCACCCGCACTGCCCTGGTCCAACACGAGATTGACACCGGCAACGCTCGGCCCATCCGCATCCCACCGGGATGCATGATTCACGCCAAGCGGACAGCCGCCGAGGAAAAGATCCGGGAGATGGCCACAGCGGGGGTGATTGAGC